TCCTCTCCCTCGTGGCCGCTAAAACAGAGGCTGTGGGAACATTCCTACTTGTTAAATGATGGCTTTAAAGATAACAGGTATGGTGCGCTCATCTGTTTGGGGGCAGTAGTTCTTTGCTCTTCTCTGGGAGTATGGAAGCTTTATCCGAATAAACATGAAGCAGGTCTTGAGTATTTGTCAATCTGTTTTCCCCTGTGTCTAAAGTACATAGTGAGTTCTTTCTATTTTAAACCCAGAAATCAAAACCAGAGTCTTCCTAAGAACTCTGTGTGAAAATCTCCATCATTCTCTCTTTCTTCATTGACATATACACCCTTGAGGGCTACGTGCGTGTCTGGGATCCCAGTACTTCCCCCCACCCCTTTTCTGCACCTGCAAACCCGTGTTGAAAACTGACTGATTTCACTCGCTGAGTGTAATTTCACTGCTCGCATTGTAAAATCCCACTTTCTTTTTGTTTTTACCCGTATCCTGTACTCTAGATTGACAGCAAGTGAATAGGCTTAGGGAGCTAACCAGGAAACCTAAGCACAAGATGCTCCTAGGGAGAAAATGTTCAAGTTGAAAGACTTTTTTGGTGCTGGCTGGGTTTTTTTTTTTTTCAGATGTTTCAAAAAATAAGGTTATAAATAAATAAAAATAAGGTTGTTTAAGATGATTTGTTACATTCAATGTTTCAACAAGTTGAAAGTTTGAGCAAACATTTGAGATGTCTTTAATTTGGAGTTTTCAAATTCTAGAGTTCTCAGAAATTTATCAAAAGTAGAAATATTTGTCAACATCCCAAATACTTGACTGCTTGTTTATATATAAGAACTACTGACTTATAAATTAATGTGTTTTCACAGTTGTTTGTGTTCTGAGAGTAGTTGATCCTGGTTCTTAAGAGATTTATTGATAGGGGCAAATGAAAAGACTGATCATTTTTGTTTGTCTGGGGGCCACATCTGGTGACATTAGGAGTAACTCCTGGCTCTGTATTCAGAATCCCTCGTGGTGGTACTCAGGGGTACCCTGTGGGGCGCTGGGGATCGAACCCAGGATGGGCACAGGTAAGGTGAGCACCCCTGCCTGCTGTACTATCATTGCAGCCCCAACTCTGGTCGTTCTGTCATAAAGACTGTCTGCACTCTGCAAAACCATGCGGTAGTCGTGCCTCGGAGCAAAGCGGTGTCTGCACACATCACTGGTCCCTCTGACTTTGTGAGTCCAGCCCTATCATAGACCGGGCTGAATGTTTCCACATCAGCTGTCCCACGTGTGCAGTCAGAATCAGTGCGTCCTATGGTCCGTGCTTCCTCCTTGAGGACGTTTGCTTCTCATGGATACCCACTTACCGGACAAGAAACACGGCCAACCCAGATTCGATCCCTGCTGTCCTCTATGGTCCCCTAAGCCCCGCCAGGAGTAATTCCTGAGCACAGAACCAGGAGTAAGCCCTGAGCACTACCGGCTGTGGCCCCCAAAACAAAACAGACGAAGTGCCAGACTTATTGGTATCAAAAATACGCAAAACTAAATCAGAATATATATTCATAACCAATTGAGGGATGAACATGTTGCTGTTGTTTCGTTTTTAAAGCACTTACTGAATTTGAAATGTTAAATACCGACTCTTAAAATAACCATTCTTGTTTATGAGTGATGTGTCTTATCCTTGGGCAGTTGTACGAAAATAAAATATTCACAGCAGTAATTTCAGTATAGTCCCAGAATATTACTTCTCGGGCTTTTGGTATAAGAGCACCACCTATGGGTTTTTCAGATACTTGGCTAAATTAGAAAGAAAAGGGAAACCACCTCATCAAATCCTTTCTGATTATTTCCCTATAACTGGGAATAATCGATTTATTTGAAAGCATCCTTTGTCACAGTTTATCTCCACCTGTTTTTCAAATGTATCTCCCTGCTATTGAATCCACTAATACGATCGCTTCTGTGCCTGTAAAGTATTAGAATTCCGAATTAAATATACTTGAGTAGAAAATTGTTATTTTTCACATTGATATTATCACTTTGGGGGTGGTTTTGGGCAACACCCTGCTGTGCTCAGGACTTACTCCTGCGTGCTCAGGGATCACTCTTGGCAGGCTCACGATACCGTATGTGGTGTCCGCGATCTAACTCAGCTCTTGAAGATAACATACTTACCCGCTGTACTATCACTCTGGCCCCCATAAAAGCCCATTTATTTGTAGATTGATATTTCAATAAAAGTGAGCAACAGTCGTAGCCCCGTTGAGTAACCTTCTTATGCCCTCCCCACACCCTCCCCGCACGTACATACCTACCAGTCAGCTACCTGGTCTCATACCATGGTCCCCCATTTATGTGGTTTCTTACTTTAAAATATCTTGGGGGCCCAGATCCAGCCAGTGGTTGAAATCTACCACAAGTGGGTGGGGGCGGAGAGTAGGTGAGAGAGAGAAGAGACCAGTAAGAGTTAGAAACGATCACTCTGGACACAGACTGAATGTTGAAAGTAGGTAAAGGAGGATACATGGTAACGGTTCTTTTCAATATCTGAATTGCAAATCAAAATGCCCAAAAGAGTGCAGGGGGTGGGGGGTGGGGGGTGGGGGGTGGGGGGTTGGAGAGAGACAGACCGACAAAGTAGTGGGAGGGAACCTGGGAACACTGGTGCTGGGAAATGCACAGTGGTGGAGGGGTGGGTGTTGGAACACTGTATGAGTGAAACCCAATCGTGAACAGCTTTGTCATGGTCTATCTCATGGGGATTCAATTAAAAAAATAAATTTATAGGAAAACAAAAATATATATCTTGGGGGCTCCCAGTTAGGAACTGTTGGTTTACACTCCGAGAAGGATAGTGATTGCGTTTTCCTGTTTGTTTGCATCTTTGTGAACTTAATTCACCAGTCTGCAGGGTCCATGTTGCTGTGGCAGGAGATAATGAAGAAGGAACCGGGCACTTCCTAAATGACTGAGGGTATATTTTCATTAATTATTCTGATAATAACTTCGAGCAAAGTTGGAAGCAAAGCTCTAGCCCTTCATTGTTAATAAGTTCTAAAAATAGACTCACATTTTGCATGAATTTAGTCTTCTTTAAAGTATTGCTCATTAACTTTTTTTTAATAAGTTACAAGGGAAATTTTACTCTATGAAAAATCTCACACATGAGGAGAAAGGTAAAATGGGGGCAGGTCCTGGGCATGTGAGGCCTTGGAGAACCTCCTGCCCCTCTGCCTGGATTCCTGCCAGCTCGCTGGGTGAGGGACTTAGTTAGTCCTGGGGTACAGCCATGTGAGGCAGTGGCACTGTTTACAGAGAAACACATTTTGAAAATCCTGGTCACATGCTGTCTCCAAGAATTCTATAGAAATAAGGCTGGTTGGCTCAGTGGTAGAGGACTTGAATGTAGGAGGCACTGAGTTTGAGCCCTGCATGCTCACTCTTCCTCCCACCCTCCCTCTCTCTCTCTCTCTCTCTCTCTCTCACTCCTCCTCTCTCCTTCCTTCTCTCCCTCCCTCTTCCTGTCTCTTTGTCTCTCTCTCTCTCTTCGTCTCTCTCTCCCCCTCTTTTCCTCTCTCTCCCCCTCTGTTCCTCTCTCTCTCTCTCTCTCTCTCTCTCTCTCTCTCTCTCTCACACACACACACACACACACAGACACACACACAGTTAGAAGGATTGACTCTAAGTTGGCCAAATAAAATGATTTGCTGTATTTTGAGTCTTATGGGTAAAAGCTTTTATTAAAATTATAACGTGTACTTTCCTGTGGCCTTAATCTAAATTGAGTAGACTTCATTGTTATTTTAAGTGTCTTTGCCCCCTCCCCGGTTATTACTAATAGGGGTCCTTGCCTGCATACAGATTTGCTTCCTTAATTTTTCAGCTAAGAGCAGAACACAAAAAGTATGGAAGCTCTAGTCACACATGGTTCTACCCCTTGTTTGCTCTAATTCATTCGTTCACTCCTTCGGCAGCTGTCTTGTTGCCAGCTAGAAATGGCCCTTCATGATGGTTACGACGTGGGAGCAGCATTCCCTCTTTCGGAACATAGCACTGGATGTGTTCTCAACTCCTGTGCTTTTTGTTGCTGTGTTTTGCATTTAGGTCACATGCAGTGCTCCCAGCACAGTGCTCTTGGGGGCCATGCTCTTCAGCACCATGCTCTTCAGAGTCCATAGGGTGTTGGGGATCCAACCTGGGGCTCCCACAGGAAGAGCGCGCACTGCAGCTCTGTGAATGACCTCCCAGCAATCTCTGAGTTGAGGCCCTGTTTTCTGGTGCCATTCTGAAAGTTGTCTCCCTCCCCCCCGCCATTTCCTCCCATGTCTGTCTCCTCTGGTAGCTACACTCCAGCCCTCACCTCTCATTTGCTGCATTTAATCTGCTGTGACTCAGATCATCTCGTTTGGGGGGACGTTGTATAAAATAAAGGGTTTGCGATTTCGAGACTTAAACTTCTGTCACTTCATTTCCCCTCCCAACTATTCTTTAAATTGAGGGAGAATAAAATTGCCAGATCATCAGCCGAGTTCTGGATAGGCAAGAAGTTAACGGAATTCCTGTGAGAGTTGGCGATAATGCCAGAAGAATCCGGAAAAGTTGTTACTCATCTGAATTTATTCTGTCTTCCTTCTGTGACACTTAGACAGCCAACCATATCATGTTCCCAGCCGTGAGTGGATTAGGCAACAGAACTGTTCACAGTGATTTTGGTGTTTTTATCCAATTCCTCATGACTTTCTAAACCACCCAGCATGGAGTTCTTGTGTTTTGGTGCTTCCCCAAAATGTCCAGACATTACCAAGACGTGTATTCAATCAGGAAAAGATACTTTGGGCTAAAAGGGGAGGAAAATAAAATATCCCTGCAAGCATCTTAAGATGGATAGACCTGGATGTGTGGGTATGATTTGACATCTCAAGTGTTGTGGAGCTTTTTTTTTTTTTTTTAAGTAAACAGTGGTTTCCTGAACGCTTCATTTGAAAGTGTGATAATTAGCTAAGCTTGCCTTGGCTCTCTTCCAGCTTGTGGAGAGACTCCAGAACAAATCCGAACACCGAGCGGGGTCATCACCAGCCCCGGCTGGCCCTCAGAATATCCCGTCCGAGTCAACTGCAGCTGGTTCATCCGGGCAAATCCGGGGGACATCATCACTATCAGGTAACTGTGACCCCAGCAGTACTGCTGTGTTGTATCGTATTGCAAAATATGGATCCCGTTTCCAGATAGCACTCAGCCAACAGCCAGTTGGCAGTTGGGGGCACATGTGCTGAGTGCCTGTCACAGGGACCCTGTCGCAGGCGGGTTTCTATCCTGCTAGCCTGTGCCCTGCTTCGGACTCCGCCATCTGTACCCTGTGAGGCCATTTTTTAACCAGAAGCACCTATTTCCTAAGAGCTGCTTAGCATCCGTTCCCGTCATCTTTGGCCCCCAGACCAAGTAACCATGACTTGCCTATTCCCGTGGAGATCTGTCTAGCGCAGGAAGGGGATCCCCTCGGGTTCCCCGGCCTCCCCAAGAGACGGCCTGGTTCCAGACTGCATCTCTCATCCATGCACTCACACACCTCGACCAGAACTGGCAGGGGATTAAGTTTTGTTTTGATTTGTTTTGGAGCCACACCCAGCAATGCTCAGGGCTTACCCTTGGCTCCACGCTCAGGAATTAGCTTCTGCCAGTGTCGGGGGAACCATATGGGAGGCCAGGTATCGAACCTGGGTCCGCCGTGCCCGTGGCAAGCTCCCTTAAGTGCTATACTCCTGCTCCAGCCCGCAGCCTAAAATCCTGTGTCTCGGAAAACTCATGTTTTCGTAACAGGAACGAAGGAACATTTGTTAAGAATATAAAGGTAGCTGTTCCTAGGGGAAATAACGTTGGGTTTATGATTCTAAAAATAAAGACTATCTCTGCACGTTAAAGAGTTTTAAGATTTATTTTAAAGACATTTAAGATGACAGAGGAAAGCTGGAAATCCGATATTAAGGAGGAAATGTTCAGTGATGCCAGATACTTCTTGTAGAAGGAAGTCGTGTCAGGGCGATTAGTGTCAGCGTATTTGCATGCAGGGAGGGTGGGGGGACCAGACACCGAGCACTCAGGGCGGAATGCTGCTGCCTTCAGAGCCGGCGCCCACCAAGCTCAGCCTTCTCGCATGCTTGTATCTGTAATATTTTTATAGGTAAGAAGCATATAATTTACGTTGGCAAGAGACTTGGCAAATCATAGACCCCATCATTTTCCTTTTTCTTTTTTTTAAACGAGATTATAAATTTAGCCGACTTTGGAATCTTTCCACCATTCTCTTTTCTTTTTTGAAAAATATCCATTAATGATCAAAAGCACCAGTCATTCTTGTCTTTAAAAAAAATCTAGCCTCTTCTCTTTACGGAAGCCACCACATAGGGACCCCGTGACTTGGGGGGAGGGTGATTGGTTCCTTCTGCCCCGTGACTGTTTCCAGGGCCCCGAGGCCATGAACTCTGGGAGGAATGGAACCCCTTTGACGGATGGGTGTCCAGCGCCACAGCACTAGTGCTAGAAGCCCTAGCAGAGGTCTCTTTTCTTTTCTTTTTATGGTTTAGGGGCCATGTTTGGCGATACGCAGGGGTTCCTCCTGGCTCTGCACTCAGGAATTACTCCTCTAGGTGCTCAGGGGACCATATGGGATGCTGGGGATCAAACCCAGGTTGGCCCCGTGCAAGGCAAGTGCCCTCCCCACTACACTATTGCTCCAGTTCCATAAATTTTATTAGTTTTATTGTTTGTTTTTTGGCTTTTCGGTCACACCCAGTAAATGCTCGGGGCTTATTCCTAGCTCTGCACTCAGAAATTGCTCCTGGTGATGCTCTGAGAACCATAAGGGATGCCAGGGATCGAACCCAGTTCCAGTTGGCCATGTGCAAGGCAAATACTCTCCCCGCTGTACTGTCACTCTAGCCCCCAGAGGCCTCTTTTCTGTCATCTGTAATATGAGTAAGTATAAATGTAATTACAAAATAGTACTTTTACAGGGATTCTGAGTTTGAAATTCAGCGGCCCTCAGCAACACAGAGAAGTGGACATTTTGGAGATTTCCCTTTTCTGATCCCAAATCAAACCTTCAGCCCATTGATACAAAACTTGGAGATTCTTGCCAGCACAGAAAGTGACATGGAATATGGCCAGCTGGTCTGTCCTGTCACGTCTGATCTTTGAGAACTCACAAACTAGATAGGCTCAAACCGAGAACAGTATTGAAATGCAGACCAAAACGAGGGCTGAGGGGCCAGAGAGATAGTACAGTGGGTAGGGCATTTGTCTTGCACGTGGCGGAACTGGGGTCAGTCCCCAGCAACACTCCCCCCTCCCCCCCCCCCCCCCCCCGTACTGCAGGGTGTGACTCTGGTGGCTCCCCTACATCACTGGGAATATCCCGAACTCCACTCAAAAATAAAATTAGACATTAAAGTCCACATAAAACAGGGAAGTGAAAATTACAGACTGCATAGCCAGTATTTAAAGCTTTCCTTGTGAAACTGTTCAAAGATGGTGGTAGAAAGGCGTTTCTAGGGCCGGGGACGTGACTCGCGCACAGAACATGTTCTGGTTACCTGGGTGAGGCGCTGGGATGGATTCCCAGCACCAGGAGGAAGTGTTGTTTTTATCCCCTGGGAGCCCGTCAGAATCAGTAAAGGCCTCCCTGTTTATCCAGGGTGATGGAGGATTGCATTCTCCGTCCCCATTTGAAGCCAAGCGCCAAGCCAGAATATTTTGCTGAGTTAAGGAGACTGCAAAAAAGGAAAATAACCCAAAACCTCCCACTGACCGCTGCCTGAACTCTTGTGGGATGGCACACTGGGCAGGGTGTACCCCCAGACAGAGGAATTCAGTGGAGCCACCTGCGGCTGCCAGCAGGCTGGGTACCAACCTGAATCCAGGCTTACAGCAGCTCTGGAGAGAGCCCCAGGTGGAGCAAGCTCCGGAGCAGATGCCTGGAAATATAGCGAGGAGAGGGTTTAAGACAGAAAGAAGCAAATCTTCTGCACAGTAAGCCTGGCACCGTCATTTCTGCAATATATAAAAACACGTCAACCAAACCAGTTTTTGTTGGCATGAACACAGATTTAACCCGGACACTATAATATTGGGGAGATGGGACATTCTGGACATTCTTTGCTTTTTTGTTTGTTTGTTTTTTGGTTTTTGGGTCATACCCAGTAGTGCTCAGAGCTTACTCCTTGCTCTTCCCTTGGGGATCACTCCTAACGGTGCTTGGGGGACCATACGGGGTGCCCCGGGATCAAACCCAGTTTGGCTGCATGCAAGGTAAGGTGCCCTCTTTGCTGAACTATCTCTCCAGCTCCTTAGCCTTTTTATTTATTTATTGCTTTTTGGGTCACACCCAGCGATGCTCAGGGGTTACTCCTGGCTTTACACTCAGGAATGACTCCTGGCGGTGCTCGGGGGACCATATGGGATGCTGGGAATCGAACCCAGGTCCGCCGCGTGCAAGGCAAACGCCCTACCCGCTGTGCTCTTGCTCCAGCCCCAACACTTGGATTCTTTAAGGAAACCTGCACATGCTAGATCCTAGCCTAGTATGATGTTTTCAAATTAATAAATAAGTATATATATAAGTTTGCAGAATTTCAGGTATATAGAAATAGAGCCATCAGCTGTTTAAAATTTTCACAATTCATCAACATATGCTTATTTAGAAATATTTTACTGACCAAGTGATAGTTATGACAACTGTGATTTTTTAAGTGGTTTTGAGTACCAGTAGTCATTCTTGACAACTGTTAAAAAGACCCCAGAGGCCCGGAGTAAGCTATAGTTCATAGCTCTATATCAAGGTAATGTTAAATTTCAAGTAGAGATCAATAAAAATAAAAAGAGTGTGTTTTTCCAAACTCAAGGGATTGAGAGAATAGAAGAACTGAATACTCTTTCTTGCACATCATTAGAACAAATGTGGTCAGCATTTGAATTGATTAACATATAAAGATTACTAATAAAAAAAATCAAAGCATGAATCTTGAGCATCCACTAGAGGAAAGGAGATTTTAGGCAGATAGAAGTACAAAGGAAGACAAGAAAGGAGGAAAATGAAAGTTTGCATACAGAGAAAGTCATCTGATCTTTAAAAGTCTGGTCAGAGTATGGATTGGTTAATTGCTATGATCCCTATAAAAAGCTGTAAGAAAAAAAAGTCTGTGGATAGAAAAGATTTGTGGAATACCGATTAATAGAAAGCTACTGTAGGATAATCAGCTTCAGCTATAATTGAACTGAAAGCACAAAATACTATGCCAGGGAAATGGCTTAGTGGGCTGGAGTTGCCCACCAGAGAGTGGGGAAGGGATTAAGGTGCTTACTTGGCACACTGTGGACCCAGTTTGATATCCAGTTTGAACCAACTGCGTGTTGATTCCCTCTGAACACTGCTGGGTGTGTCCCAAAGACCACCACACCCCTTCTCAATGCAGAGAAAGTATATCTGATACATTGATTTAAAAGGTATTGTAGCACTATAGCACTGTCCTCCCGTGTTCATCTATTTGCTCAAGCGGGCACTAGTAATGTCTCCATTGTGAGACTTGTTACTGGTTTTGGCTTATCAAATATGCCGCGGGAAGCTTGCCGGGCTCTCAGAGAGGGACAGAGGAATCGAACCTGGGTTGGCCATGTGCAAGGCAAATGCCCTACCCGCTGTACTATCGCTCCAGCCCTTAAAATGAAAAATAAATAATCTCATGATATTTTACTTTGAAACTGGAAAAAAAAAACAACAGCAACAACAAAAACCAAGGGCTAGAGAGTTAGTACAGTAGATAAGGCCCTTGCCTTGCACACAGCCAGCCAAGGTTCAATCCCAGCACTGCATGGGGTTCCCGAGTACCGCCAAGAGAGCTCTGAGTGCAGAGCCAGAAAGAGGAGCAAGGAGGAAAACGGGAGATGGAAGGAGGAAGGGCATCAGTAAAACAAAAAACCTGGCTTTCTGAAACTCGGGCAATTAGACAAAGAACCCGCAGCTGCTGTAAGCCTGTTTCCTAATGAAAACATCTCCTATGATCACAAGGACTATAAGAGATCTTAAAAATCGAAAGGCACTCCAGCCCCGCCCGTCCGCTTGACAGGCACACAAGAAAGGTCCAGTGGTTGCCGCTTGGGTCTCATGTTTTCAGTTCTGTTGAGTCTGCTTTGGGCCTGTGGCTGGCTGTACCCCTCACTCAAGTCACTGAGATAACTCAAGCCTGTTCACCCATTGCTTCTCGTTCTCTTCTCCCTCCCTACTTGATTTCTTTCTCTGTCTCCTCTCTGAACACTGAGGCCAAGGGTAGATTAGGCATCCCCCCTTTTACCACAACATATTTCCTCATCCTGTATTCTATATTCCACAGGTATGTGAGATCACCCAGTGTTTTTCTTTAAATTAGTACCTAATAAATTTATTTTATTATTTTCATAAGTAATATTTTTTTTATTAGTGACTCAACACATTATCTTCCAGATCCAACCAGGTTGCAGCAAATCACGTGATTTCATTGTTCCTTGCAGCAGCATAGTATCCCTCTGTGTATATATATCATATCTTCATAATCCATTCATCTGTCGATGGACATCTCCCTAAGATTCCATATCTTAGTTATTGTACTGGGTGTAGCAAGAGGGTTGGGGTGGGAGGGAATCTGAGAACACTAGTGGAGGAAAGTTGACACTGGTGGAGGGATTGGTGTTGACTTAGTGTGTGCCTAAAACTCACCTGTCATTAACTTTGTAAATCATGGCACTTTAATAAAGAAAAAAAGTAAGTAAGTAAAGTAAAAGTAAAGGCCTTCCCATTGATCATCGGTTTGCTCGAGCGGGCCCAGTAACGTCTCCATTGGAGACTTTGTTGTTACTATGTCTGGCATATCGAATACTCTCGGTAGCTTGCCAGGCTCTCCGAGAGGGGCGGAGGAATCGAACTCGGGTCGGCCATGTTGGCTGCGTGCAAGGCAAACGCCCTACCCGCTGTGCTCAGAAGGCAGTATTTGTGAGACTTTAACATGTCAAAAAAATATTCATGCAGTTAGATTAAATGAATCGTTTTCTAGAGAATGGATATTACCAATATTGTCTCAAGGAATGACTGTTAAATCAATAAACATTAGAGAAACCAAAATCAGGATTCAAAGTGAGATTTAAGGCCCAAATAGTTTTATGGACAGACTTCCCCCAATGACTAGGTCGAGTTTTCGTGCCCTGATAAAGGGCATCTGTTCAAAGCAATTTTAATCAAACTTAGCAGTGCAGCTAATTTTAGCACGAGGGACCAAGGCAAGAATGTTTGCTTTCACTAATTGTGCTTGATCTCCCAGTCAATGCAACAGAATATCAAAAAGAAATTAATGAGACAAAAAAAATGGAAGGAAGAAGTACGGCTCTCAGTATTTGCCATTATTTTCCCTGGTTACATATAAAATCCAAGCAAGTTTAAATATTGTAGACAAGAGCTTTTTTTTTTTATAATTCTATGAAAGTGCTGTATACATCTTTGTATACAGCATACAGTATCCAGATACAGTGATTGTAAGAAAATGTAAATGGTTAAAACTGATTCAGCAAGAGTTTAGGGAAAGCTTTATTAACACCCCCGCCCCAAATAAGGAAATTTTGAATTGCACCACAAACAAGACTGCTGAGCATTGTTTCTCAGCAGGGGGCCATAGACACCCCCTGTGATTTTCCAAGGACGCTGCAGTGACGATTGCATAACTGGGGGGTCCGTAGCATGAGACGAGGGGCACTGTGGTTCCCTGAGAACCACCAGGGGTAACACCTGAGCAGCGCTGGGTGTGTTTTTGACCAAAAAGTCAAAAGCAGAAAAGACAAGCAGCAGCAGCAGCTGAGACCTAGCCAAGGCTCCTGGCTTCGTAAATCATCAGTGTATTAGTGAACTGCAAGTTTCGCCTCACCCCTGCTCAGACTGGAGTTCGGAAGACCGAGTGGCCGGGGTGCACGCACAGCTCCCACACAGACACGTGCCACAGGCCAGCCTGCTGTGCTGTGACCACGGTCAGGAGCCAGGGCTTTGACAAGGCAGCCCACGGGAGAAGAGACGGAACTAGCCAGGAAGCGGGACACGGAGAGAGAGCACTGGGTGAAAGCGCTTGCTTTTGCACGGAGCCAACCATGGTTCTGTCACCGGCACGCAGTCCCCTACGCCTTATTTTTGGCTTGGGGCTCTCACCCAGTGGTGCTCAGGGTTTCCTCCCAGCTCTGCTCAGGGGTGTCACTCCTGGTGGGTCTTGGAAGATCACACAAGGTGTCCGGGATTGAACCTAGGTCAGCCACTGTGCTTTCTGTGCTACCACTCCAGCTCCCAGGAAAAACATTTTGTCAGTGTCTATTAATTGTAAAGGGGGATTGTCTTTTTTTCTTTTGGAAAAAAAAGAGGGGGTGTGGCGTACCCACTGTGTCCGGTGTCTCTTTCTGGCTCTGTGCTGCTGGTTGCTCTGAGCTGTGTTCAGAGGGCCATTTGGTGCCGGGATTGAACCAGGACTCCTTCATATAAGCTTTTTCTCCGCCCCTCTGCGCGCTCTCTCCAGTCGGGAATTATATCTGTGATCCTAACAGTTCTGCTTGTAGAAAATTTGTCCTAGAGAATTACTTGCTTGTGTGTGTGGAGAGAGAGTGGTGCCCATATAATAATTCTTTGAAGCTTCATTCATCAAGAGTGAAAACTGAACAAAATCTATTTGCTTTTTTGTTTGGGGGCCACACCTGGCAATGGTCAGGGGTTACTCCTGGCTCTGCCTCAGGAATTACTCCTGGTGGTATTCGGGGAACAGTATCTCCGCTCCCTCTAAAGAGAAAATGTCCTGGTGGAGTAGTACTTGGATCATTCTCTTCATTATCACTTAGTTTTAATAAAAGGCCAAGGCAAGGAGGTAAAGTAAGATCTTTTTGGTGAGATGTGCTATTGATAAATGAGTTTTTGGTTCTCTCTTAACTAAGTATATGCTTTTGTTTAACTTCTTTGTCGCTTTCCCATATCTGTAGTTTGTGATTGACAAAATAAAATGGGCTATAAAGTAAGTTATTTTGAAAAGGCATTTTCAGGGCCAGAAAGGTAGTACAGAGGGCATCAAACCTGACCCAGTTCGATCCCCAGCATCCAATACTGAGTACCACCAGGAGTGATTCCTGAGGGTAGAGCCAGGAATAAGCCTTGAGAATCGCCAGGTGTAGCTCAAAACTAAGCAAACAAAAATAAATAAAAGGGCATTTTCAAGCTGACTTTTTACTGAAAATGTTTATTAAATTTTTTTTAACTTTACTCAGATTTATGCTGCTTGCTCTCCTGAAAATGTAAACTCTAGACTTCATTGAGCAAGTAGATGAAGCATCTCTGTAACGTGTACTTCAGCTCATCAGAGTGTATAGCAATGATTCTGGCTCAGATTTTGCAAGATTTAGGGTGTTCTGAATTGGAAACTGGCTCTCCTAAACACACAGATATGGAGGAGGAGACGGGGAAGAAATGGCCACTTGTCAACCTGTTTCTCAGCATGATCTGGGGGTCTGATACCACCAATCAGAAAGTATCCTTGCAGAATCTGGGGAAAAGCCATCAAAGCGTTGAGAGCATAGAAGTGCTGTTACTTGCCAGCGACTGAGTTTCATGCCTGGAAAACCCAGGAGCTAAAATTCACATATGGAGGCTTGACACAAAGGCCTGGGTTACCACGTAGCATCACAACTGTGCTCCCGGAATCTCCCTCCTCACTGGCGTTTCCTGGTTCTGTATTGGCAGCTTTCAGGATTTCGACATTCAGGGCTCCAGAAGATGCAGTTTGGACTGGCTGACGATAGAAACGTACAAGAACATTGAGAGTTACAGAGCCTGTGGATCCACCCTCCCGCCGCCCTATATTTCCTCCCAAGACCATGTGTGGATCCGGTTCCACTCAGATGACACCGTCTCGAAGAAGGGCTTCCGGCTGGCGTACTTCTCAGGTGGGTGTGTACAGAAGACAACGGGTGAGCAGGGCTGGAGAAGTGGGGGACAGCGGGAAGGGGCTTACCTCCCCGCCACCACACATGGCCCCCTGTGCCCTCCTCAGGGCCTCTCTGAGCACGGTGAGGGTGTGGCAGTACAACAAAAATGAAGTCATTAGCCAGATTCTCCCTTACGAAGTGCTCAGCGCTAGGTGTCTGAAGTGTTAATTAACCTTGTCCAGTGGTGGCGTGGCAATAAAATTAAAGTAGTGAACCAAATTCTCCATATCAAGTGCGCAGCGCCAAGCTTCTGAACCATCATTAATTAACCTTTGTCCAGTGGTGGCCTTCCTCTGACCTTGTGGCCTCCCTCTTCCTCTCCTCCTGTCCGTCAGCCCCTATTCTCGTGCCATGGCTCTCCCTCCCCTCCATTTACATGCACCCACAACCCCCTTGATCGTGCTGGGCTCCCATGAAGGAGATCCCCCGTCATGGCAACTGGCTTCTCCCAGCAGCTGGGATGGGATTGGGTCTTTAGAAGTTCAGAGTTCCCGAGCCCCAAACTGACTCCTGGGGTGTTTTGTGCAATAAGCTGATCAACTTTATAAGCACAGGTCACTTTTCTTCTTTAATCTATTAAATGCATTTATTTTAAAAGTAACTTTTGGGGCCCGAGAGAGAGTACTGCAGAAAGGGTGCCTGTCTTGCACGCAGCAGACCTGGGTTTGGTTGCCAGAGGCCTCTCTGGGGTCCTCTGGGCACAGAGCAAGGAATAATCCTAAGCCCCTTGGGTGTAGCCTGCTTTTTTTTTAAAAATAACTTTCTTCTGTGGCTCAGTGATAGAGGGAATCCCTTACATGCTCAAAACCTTGGCACCACAAAGAAAGAAACATAAAACTTTTTCTGCCCTGAGAGCTTATGCATACCCTGAAATTCATTTCAGAATGTGTTTCTGTGGGTCCGAGTTGCCTCCTCAGCCCTCTTCTTTGCGCACTGAGACTGGGCAGGACACAGGCTCGCTTTGATGAGAATGGCCCGTGGCATTCAAGTCCTGCCTGCCCTTTTGCAGGAAATCATTTCACATCATCCAAGATGCCACAGTTTTCTTGGGCCAACGTGCTGCTTCCCTCCTCCCCCGACCCCTCCCACCCTGCCCCAAGTCATCTTTGTAATGTTTATTTAGTTTCTAAGCACATTTTCTGTCTAGTTTTCATTAAATAAGTTAATGGAGCAGTAAGAATTGGCCCGGCCTTGTGAATTTTGTTTGGTACAGTGGGAATCTGATATTTGGGGTTCTCCCTCCTACCTGATCGTTGTTATGTAATCTGGGATGCCATGATCTTAGGATCATTAGAATTCTGAAGGTGTGTCAGTTTTTGCCCTCTTTTCCCTACTTCCGTCTGTCTGTCTGACTGTAGGCCAGCGGTGCCCAGGGACTCTTCTTTGCTCTGCAGGGACTAAGGGCTGCCAGGGATGGAGCCTTGCCTGCAGCCTTGCCCCCAGACCCCCGCCCTCTGAGCCTCCTCTCTCTGATACATTCATCCAACATACTGCAGTCCTACTAAGACGGTTGCAGTATGGAACAGAATTGTTAGAATCGCGTGAAACACTGTGAGCAGTATGAAATCAGTCTTATCTTAGCAAAACTTTGAATCTAAATAGGGTACTTTGAAGATATGGTACAGAGCAGAAAGAACTAGAAAGCAATGAAGAACATGGGGCTGGAGCGATAGCACAGCGGGGAGGGTGTTTGCCTTGCACACGGCCGAGCCAGGTTCAATTCCCAGCATCCCATACGGTTCCCCGAGCACCGCCAGGAGTAATTCCTGAGTGCAGAGCCTGAGCATCGCTGGGTGTGACTCAAAAAGCAAAAAAAAAAAGTAATAAAAAACATTAGAAAAGGTGACTTATGGATGAAATTTTCTTCATTTCAAAAATGTCTTTTTTCAGAGAAGTGCTGCCTGTCACGTAGGCAGTTGGGAAGAGTGGGAGGGAAGCTGGGGACATTGGTGGTGGGAGATGTACACTGGTAAAGGGACGGGTGTTGGAATATTATATGACTGAAACCCAATCATAAGCAACCTTGTATCTGTATTTCACTGTGATTCAGTTAAAAAATTTTTTTCAAAGAGAAAAAAATTGTATAAGGCTAATACAATGAGGTTATTTAATTTTGAACAGTACATCCTAGAGCCCATGTCTTGCCATTCCTTTTAGTAAATAAATGTTCAACAGTAAAATAGCTCTGCAGAGAAAACAGAATCAGGCTCTTCTCTGTAGATCGAAATGCCAAGATTTATAAGGAACAAACAGTTAAGCATTTAACAGATTGACTTGAGCTTGTTATGAACCAGTAGTAACTTGCTGTCAGAACCTAACTGATTTGTCCAGACAGTGGTTCTCAACCCCATCTCTTGAACTTGCTCAGTATTTATCGTGCAAACCTCACTGGCTCTTGGCATTAGTTTTTCCCAAGGGTGCGGCTGTAACTTATTTATTGGTGCTGAGTTTTGTGTGTGTTTGTTGCACTTTGGGCCACACCCGTGGGTGCCGAGGGGTTCTCTCTGGCTGCACTCGGGAATACACTCCTGGCGGGCTTGGGGGACCTTCTGGGAGGCCTGGGATGGAACCTGAGTGAGCCTCCTGCACGGCCGGCACCCTCCCCGACTGCCTCTCTCTCTCTCCCCCCCCCTCTCTCCCTGGGGGTCCCCCCAGCCCACCACGGCCGTGTAACGTTTTGCTGCTGCTTTTTTCCGCCACCTGGCAGGGAAAGCCGAGGAGCCCAATTGTGCATGTGACCAGTTCCGCTGCGGCAATGGCAAGTGCATCCCCGAGGCCTGGAAGTGCAACAGCATGGACGAATGCGGGGACAGCTCAGATGAGGAGGTCTGCGCCCGGGCCGCTGCCGAGCCGCCCACCGCCGCCGCCTTCCAGCCCTGCGCCTACAACCAGTTCCAGTGCCTGTCGCGCTTCACCAAGGTCTACACCTGCCTCCCCGAGGCCCTCAAGTGCGACGGCAACATCGACTGCCTGGACCTGGGCGACGAGATCGACTGCGACGTGCCCACGTGCGGCCAGTGGCTCAAGTACTTCTACGGCACCTTCAGCTCGCCCAACTACCCGGACTTCTACCCGCCAGGCAGCAACTGCACGTGGCTCATCGACACGGGCGACCACCGCAAGGTCATCCTGCGCTTCACGGACTTCAAGTTGGACGGCACGGGCTACGGCGACTACGTGAAAGTCTACGACGGCCTGGAGGAAAACCCGCACCGCCTGCTGCGCGCGCTGACGGCCTTCGATGCCCACGCGCCGCTCACCGTGGTGTCCTCGTCCGGCCAGGTCCGCGTGCACTTCTGCGCCGACAAGGTGAACGCCGCGCGGGGCTTCAACGCCACCTACCAGGTGGACGGCTTCTGCCTGCCCTGGGAGATCCCCTGTGGCGGCAACTGGGGCTGCTACACGGAGCAGCAGCGCTGCGACGGCTACTGGCACTGCCCCAACGGGCGCGACGAGGTCAACTGCACCGTGTGCCAGAAGGAAGAGTTCCCCTGCTCGCGCAACGGCGTCTGCTACCCGCGCTCGGACCGCTGCAACTACCAGAACCACTGCCCCAACGGCTCCGACGAGAAGAACTGCTTCTTCTGCCAGCCTGGCAACTTCCACTGCAAGAACAACCGCTGCGTCTTCGAGAGCTGGGTGTGCGACTCGCAGGACGACTGCGGCGACGGCAGCGACGAGGAGAACTGCCCCGTCATCGTGCCTACCCGCGTCATCACCGCCGCCGTCATCGGCAGCCTCATCTGCGGCCTGCTGCTGGTCATCGCGCTGGGCTGCACCTGCAAGCTCTACTCCCTGAGGATGTTCGAGCGCAGGTCAGTGTGCCCAGGACAGCTGATAGCGCAGCGAGGACACTTGCCCTGGATGGGGCCCACCCGGGTTCAGTCCCCAGCGTCCCCCCAGCACTGCCAGAAGTTAATTCCTGAGTGCAGAGTTAAAGTAAACCCAGACCATCGCTAGGTGTGACCCAAAAAGCCAAAAAAAAGTTGAGGTGGAGGGCCTAAGGCTCAAGAGGTTAGCTAGATTGAAGAACCAAATACTGGTCAGAAAAAGGAGAATTAAGTCTGTGCTCATATGCTACAGGGAAAATGAGCCTCTCATCTCCATTACCCTGTACTCCTCCCAGCCCAATTGGCTTTGCCTATAAAATTACGAGTTACTTACACAAACCAAACCTGAGATAATACCAGTAAGGTAGGAAGGTGAACACAGAGAACAGGAATGTGGGGATAGTGGTGGTAAGGTGGGAGTCTCCAGTGGTGGGGGTGGTGGAGTAGCATGACAGGTATGAGGCAAGGATATGGAAATCGTTAGGATCTACTTTAGTGCCATGACAGTTTTTTTTTTTTTAATAAGAAATAAAATACTGGGGCTGGAGAGATAGTACAGTAGGTAAGGTGCTTGCCTTGCAAGCGGCCAACCTGGATTCTATCCCCAGCATCCCATATGGTCCCCCACAAGCACCACAAGGAGTGATTCTTGCCTGAAAAGCCAGGAGTAAGCCCTGAGCACTGCAAGCCTTGGTCCTAAAAACAAATATAAAAAGAATAAAAATAGGAGGTGAGAGAAACCAATTTGTGTTTAACAGGCTCCATTTTCATCATAATCTCTCTTAGGGATTTTGCAGGCTATGACACGGTGAATAGTTTTTGTTTTGTTGTTTGTTTTTAAATATCGATTCCACAGATCTAGCTATTGGAGAACCTATTCAAAGTACGGTGGAAGTCCAACACCAAATAAGGTATCTAAACTCACGGGTGAGTTGAGAGTCAGGAGGAAGGGATTTTGAGTGGACTTGGAGGACAACAATATAAATGCTGTGCAAGCTCCTAAGTCAAGTGGTATAAAAGTCAAAAGATAACTTCGGGAGGTAGCGGTCGGGGAAGCTCTCAGTAAGGCAGCGCCACTGGAGACCCAGAGATCAGTGGGCTGAGCACGTGCTTGCAGCGGGAATATCGGGGTTCATCCTGTGGCCCCCTGAGCACCATCGGGCACGGCCTGCCAAGCCTAGAGCAGTCCTTAAGCCCTGCCCAGTGTGGCTGCCCCCAAAACAGCAAAAAAAAGTCAGTGGTCTGGTTCCTGGGCCCACTCTTGACTCACCGAGAAGTTGGGGGAATCAGGAGGGGATGAGCTTTTAAAAATGATCACTTGTAATGTCAGGTTATCTGGATTATTGATAAGGAAATATTTGGGGGATTTTTATTTTAAACTCAACCTTTTATCCTCACATTTCCCTCAAAGATCATTTGAAACGCAGTTGTCAAGAGTGGAAGCAGAACTGTTGAGAAGAGAAGCTCCTCCTTCCTACGGACAGTTGATTGCTCAGGGCTTGATTCCACCAGTTGAAGATTTTCCTGTTTGTTCACCTAACCAGGTGGGATTTATTTATTTGTTTGTTTGTTTATTTTTTTAATCTCAGGACCTTGGGGAATGAAATTGACGCTTCTGTATAGGGTGAAGCAAGGGCCCTCATTCTTCTTTATTAATGTTCTTAAGTTCTTAAAATTTTTGTGATTTTTATTTCACAAAAAATTCTCTGTTAATGCTTAAGATTATGCTGGGATGCACAAGGGTATAGGGAATCACACATTTCATATGGAAATTCAGGGAGTCAGAGTGATAGTACAGAAGTCAGGGTGTTTGCCTCACAGAAGGCAGACTGGGTTTGAGCCCCAGTATCCCATATTATCCTCTGAGCACTGAGAGCAGTACAGCACCAGAGTAATCCCTGAGCTTCACCAGATATGGAAAAAATCAAAAATCAAATGGGAACTCAGGACACAAGGTAAAGAACAGAGGTCGAGGCATTTACCTTCAAGCACCGAATACGGTGGCCATTGTCATTGTCTCCTGGGAATGATCCCTATACACTGCTGGGTATGACCTGCTCCCCCCACCCCAATAAGTGGGGACCCTATCTATAGAAGTGTTCATTTGAGACCTGAACCACTTGTTTGTTTTTTCCTGATTTATAGTTGGCATTTCTCTTTCTGGGGTAGCACATCTGTGTGTGCTGAGATTCAAATTTCTTTGAACATTCTGTAGACTATGACATGTTCCTGTGGTTATAGGTACTTGACTTTCTGCATATTATGTTCTTGGCGTTCGTTTTAAAGGACCTCTGTGGCGATCATAAATTCAACACTTGCAGTGAATGATGGAGACTCTGCACTGTCACACCCTCCTGACTCCATGCCTCGCTTTCTTCTGTAAGGAGAAAGGCAGGAGCCAAGCTATCGTAATTTGAAAGGGAGTGTATGACCTCACCATTGTTTCCTGGAAAAATAACGTGTTTCAGATAGCGTATTTAAATCATGTGGCTTAAAATACCACAAGCTGCATTCTGAATTTGTATACTCTTTTTGTGACCACAAGGTGGCAATAAAGCTTTTTATAACTGTAGCTGTTTGAGAATTATCCATAAACTCATTCATCTAGAAAACTGGGTAGATTTTCCCTTCAACTGGGCAATAAATAAAAATCACCAATTTTCAGAGAATAAAGATATGATCACTGTATATAATACTGAATACAAATCTTTAATTTTTTATTTGCCAACTAAGTATTTAAAGACTGAGAAAGGAATCTACATCTCATGTACCTGGTATAGTGGCTTATACAAATTAATTTTGGCTCTTTTATTCCATTTGCTGTATTTCAACTAATTCATTTACTTGTGACATATAAATAAAACCTCACTAGCTGTTTATTTAACAAATCCTTAACAACCAGTTTGGAAATAGAGTTTTCACACGATCTGGAAGTTTCAGTTATGTTTATCAGGGCTAAGTTGTTCTGTCTTTTAAAGGAGTTATGATGGGGTCTAAGGCTCTTGCCTTGGATGCGACTAACCCAGTTCAATCCCCAGCCCAGAGATGGCTGCAGCCTGATCATTGCTGGGTGTAGCCCCTTCCCAGAAAATCAGTATGAATCAAGTAAAGAAGTACAGACGAAAGCCCTAGCTTTCATACCCCTTATGTAGCGAATTACGGTGGATTTTCTGCCTTACTAAAGGAGAGGCCAACAACTAAGTCCTTTGGAGCACTCTTAGAATCTGATTGCTACCCCCGCATTTTGAAGTAAAAGCACTATTATCAGCATTCAGTGCCCCTTTACAGCTGCACGTAGGTGAGGCTGGAGAAAGTCACAGTCACTGGTGGTTGGAGTTTTGAGGCTTGAGATCAGCAGGGACCTACAAGGGGCGCAAGAATTGGACTGTGCCTCGGGGGACCCTGACACTGAGGGCTGGAGCCGGGTGTGCGTCTTCTCCCTAGACCGGGGGCTGCCCCTCTCCCCACACCCCAGCACCCCAGTTCCAGCCCTGAGGTTTCCTTTTGTTTGTTTGTTGCTGTAGGCCTCCGTTCTGGAAAACCTGCGGCTGGCGGTCCGCACCCAGCTGGGCTTCACGTCCATCCGGCTCCCCATGGGCGGCCGCTCCAGCAACATCTGGAACCGCATCTTCAACTTCGCGCGTTCCCGCCACTCGGGCTCCCTGGCCCTGGTGTCCGCCGACGGGGAGGAAGTGGCCGCGGGTCCGGGCGCCGGCCGGGACGCGGACAGAGGCCACGCGCACCGCAGCCTGTTCTCCGTGGAGTCGGATGACACCGACACGGAGGCCGAGCGGAGAGATGCGGCCGGCGCGGCCGGCGGGGTGGCGGCGCCGCTGCCGCAGAAGGTGGCCCCGACGGCGGCCGTGGAAGCCACCGCGGCGGCGAGCGGCCCAGCGGCGGCCTCGACGCCCGCCGCGGTGGCCACGACGGCGTCCAGCGCCCGCGCGGGCGGCCCCGAGAGCGGCCGGGAGGCGGCGCCGACGGCCCCCACGCCGACGACAGCGACAGCCGAGCCCCGGAGCAGCGCGAGCCCCGCGCGGCGGCAGCTCAGCAGCGCGCTCCGCCGCGTGACTCGGGGGCTGCGCTGGGTGCGCTGCACGCTCGGGCGCGCGGGGGGCGCGGGGGGCGCCGGCGCGGCGGCCGCGACGGCCACGGGCGGCCAGGGCCGGAGCCCCTTGAGACAGCTGGGCCCCGGGGCGCACGGCAGGGAGGACGACGACGACGTGGAGCTGCTCATCCCCGTCGCCGACGCCGACGGCGCGCCGGACTCGGACGCCCACGACTGCGCGCGGCCGCTGCTGGACCTGGCCCCGGAGCCCGCGCCCGCCGCCCCCCGGCCCGGCCCCGCCGCGCCCCCGGCCGGCGCGCCCCCGCACCCCGGGCCGTGCGAGCACTGCGGCATGGTGCACACGGCGCGGATCCCAGACTCGTGCCTCCTGCACGGCGGCCCCAAGGGCGAGACGAGCGACGACGAGGCGTTGTTACTGTGCTAGTGGGAGATGCAGGGGCGCGGCCCCGCACCCCGCGCCCGCGCCCGCCCGTGTCGGAGCAATACCCGGTCGTTGGTTTTCTGACTTGGCTCTAGGACTCTCCTCTCTCTTTCTTTCTTCCTCTCTTTCTCTTTTTCTTTCTTTTTTTTTTTTTTTTGCATCGAAAGGAAAAAGGGAAGAAAAGTAAATCAAGAAAATTAAAAGACGCAGGGTGCGTTCTCTGCCTGCACCGCTGCCTTTCGCCGGAGTTGCAGCCGCGTGCAGTTTCCTGCCCGAGCGGCTGGCAACACCTCTTGTTCTCCTCTGGGTTGGTGGTGTCTCTTCCACGTGCTCCTCCTCGTTTTCGCCCTGCTTACTGTCGTCCACGGTGACACCCTGGCTGCTGACATTCTCACCCTCACCCTCGTGTTCCCTTTATGCGCGGTCCAAAGGTCGGTTTGTACAAAATGCCATCTTTTTAGCTGAATCCTTCTATTACGGATTGGGTTTTTTTGGGTTGTTTTGTGTTTTCCTTTTTTTCCCCAGCACACTATATCATTTCATATGCTAGCCGTTAAGGTCAGTGTGCAAAAGAAAACTGTATTCCCTTCTTTTCATTTGTATAACATTTGTCCCAATAGTAATTGGATTTTTGTCCGAATATGAAGTTATCAAAGGGAAAAAAGGATCTTTGTCCAAAAACTTTTCTCCTCTGTTTAACATGAAGTGATGTGAAATTTAGATCATTAGCTAAATTAATGGAAAAAAAAATAAAGCAACCCCAAAACCACAAAAGTTTTATAGATTTTCTAATGTTAACTTTATTACTCCAATATGGTACAAACCAAATGGTAAAAATCCCAAATCCTTTTCTTTTTCATCTCTATTTAGGGACAGAATCAAATGGATGAAGATACTCTACTATGCATTAAATATTGAACTTTATAAAATGTGTACAAAAATTGTACAAGATAAGTCCTAACTGGGAATGTCTTTCCCTGGCGCAGGGTTATGCTTGTATCGGACCCTAGGGATTTGCACTAAAGTCATATCAAGGTCTCAGATGAATTTGGTGCACAAGCACTATCACTTTAAATGCTGTTATTTGTTCTCACAATGACTATATATTTCCATAGCTTTCTGGGGGTTAGGGGGCATTTTTATTACAACTTGAATTTGCTTTGCTAGTTTCCTATTTATTTGTCGTATTTAAAGACTGCGTTATTGAAAGAAAGTGATTTTTTTCAATATATTTTGTTCTTGGGGGAAATGAATCCTGCTGCCTGCTAAAGAAAAGCAGACTAAGAAAAATAACAACATTGCGGTGGCCCCCCTTATAAGCAGAGTGAGTTGCAAAGCGCTGCACATTTTGTTATTGTCAGTTCCTGTTTATTTATTCCTTAGCTTAATGATTGAGTATGGAGAAATGTATTTGTGTGTGACTATTACTATTTATTAAATTTTAAATCTTTTTGCTGAATGTCATTTTAAAGCATGTTTGAGGTCTTGTGTATTTGTCCTGTTATGCCGTCAGGAAGAACTGACTGAAATGTTTTAATATGTATCAAAAATTAAAATGAATTTTTTTTTGTATTGCCTTGAGGTACTTTACTAAAATCAAGGTCTCTCTGTTTTTGTTTGATTTCGGTGACCACACAATTTCGGTACATGAAATATACCAAGGTACCCAGGAGAAAAATTAAATGGGAATTTTCTGCCTTGGTACCTACTTTGTAGCAAAGTGGCAACTTACACCACTTACACTTAGAGATAAGAACCCAATTGGACCTAAATATTATTGTGACTGAGAAAACTGTTTCAGTTGGTGTATCTTTGGGGGGTGGGGGGGACACCTGCAGTGCTCAGGGCTTACTCCTGGCTCTGCACTCAGAAATTACTCCTGTCAGGCCCCTGGGGGTCATCTGGGGCAGGAAGGGGGGGGGCGGGGCAGGACCGGTATAGGGATGAAAGCGATGAAACCCAGGTTGGCCACAGCAAAGCAAATGCCCTACTCGCTATACTATTGCTCCATTTTATACCGTTGCTCTGGCCCTTCTAAATCAGCTCAGCTTTTTTTCTTTTTCAGATTTTGGGGACACACTCAGAAGTGATCATGGCTAATTCCTGGCTCTGCTCAGGGTCCATCCCCTGTGGTACTTGGGGGACTGTATGTGGTGTTTGGGATCAAACCCAGGTGAATAGTGTTCAGGAAAGAGCCTTATCTCCTGTGCTGTCTCTCTAGCCCTCAGTTTTCATTTCTAATTGTTTTCAGATACATTTCAGACCCTTGTTAAAATTTCTACTTATAGAATCAGGTTACCAAGTTCATCTTGTTTACAACTTGTTGATTTGTTTTTTATCATGAATAGCTTTTGGGGTTTTGTTTTCTGGGATATGTTTTTGTTTCAACTAACTTTTACCTCTTCTTGGTTCAAATTTTTAAAGTCTACTCCTGATAACCATCTTTTAATTCCTTTCAAAGCTGATACAGGAACAAAATGAACCTCAGAAGCAAAGAGCAATATCCAGACTCCTGCATTCCCCTCTCCCCTCTGAGATCCATACAATACATAAATGTTCTTACATATATAAATGCCATATGTATGTAACACTCATACACAAAATGATGCAAATTATAAAATACTATGCATACTTTTCCATGCTTTTTCCTAAATATCAGGATTTGCATATTAAAATTGAGTATTTCTTGTACTTGATTTTTTAAAAATTTTTATTAGTGAAACACCATGAGGTACAGTTGTAGACTTACAAACTTTTGTGCTTGGATTTCAATTATACAATGATCAAGTACCCATCCCTCCACCAGTCCCCGTTCTCCACCACCAAGGATCCCAGTATCCCTCCCACCCCCCTTCCTCCCTGTCCCACCCTGCCTCTGTGGCAGGGCATTCCCTTTTGTTCTCTCCTTTTGGTGCTGTGGTTTGCAAAAGAGGCATTGAGTGGCAATCATGTTCGGTCTACAGTCTACTTTCAGCATGCTTCTCCCATCCTGGGTGGATCCTCCCAACACCCTTTATTTGGTGCTCCCTTCTCTATCTGAGCTGCCTTTTCCTGCAGCGTGTGTGGCTGGCCTCCAAGCCATGGAGTAAACCTCCTGGTACTTATCTCAGCTATTCTTGGGTGTTAGTCTCCTATTTTGTTTCTTTATGTTCCCCCGATGAATGCAATCTTTCTATGCCCCCCTCTTTCTGACTAATTTTGCTTAGAATGATACTTTGCATGTAGTACCACGTGTATGTAAATTTCATGACTTTATCTTTTCTAACAGCTAAATAGTACTCCATTGTCTAGATTGTACTTGATTTTTTAACATAAGGAATCTTACCCCCTCCCAGTAACCCAAAGTTATTAAGTAGATATCATATTAAATTTATTGTAAATTTGAAATGATCTTGTAATCATGTAGTGGATTTCCATATTATTTAATGTTTCTAGAATGTAATGTTATTCAAAAAACCTACTTCTACACCTTTCTGATACTGCATTTTTTTTTTTAGAAATTCTTTGAGATACGGGGTGGGGTGCTGCGGATTGAACCCAGAGCCTCACACATATAAACCTTACGCAAAACAAGTGTTTAATCTCTAAGCTATATCCCTTGGCCTCAGAACCAATTTCTTAGTGTTTCAAATATTCTTGTGTATTTTTTTTCAGTTGAACTTAAACTGAAGTCCCCAAAAATCTATGTAGTGCTTTTTTTCAAGTCAAAAATAGATGCCCGAGTTATTTATCACAATCACAACAATCAATCACAACCATCCTGTTATTCGTCAATTGCCTCAAGCAGGCCCCAGTAATGTCTCCTTCGTCCTAGCCCTGAGATTTAAAAAAAAAAAAAAAGTGCCATATTCAAGGCTCTTTCAGAGTTAGGAGAATGAGACCCTTCATTGTTACTGGTATTTGGCATATTGGGTACGCCACGGGGAGTTTGCCAGACTCTGTCGTGTGGGCAGACACATTCGGTAGCCTGCCAGTTTGTCCAAAGTAGGAATGAGATGATATTTCCTGGAGCTGAGTGTGATAATCTCTGGATCCTGGCCGTTGTTGGGGTTACACGGCAGTTGGTGGGTGTAACTGTCTAGCTACTGGCAGGTCCAGTCCCAAACCGTGCAGGCTTGGAGATCTCAGCCCCAGGTCCCACACACCTGGGTTCCTCTGCCAGTTCTTTTATGCGTGAGGCTCACCCAAGTGTGTGGAGAGTGGTCCCAGCATGGCCTTGGCTGGGGCCCGGAGGTCTTCAGCTGTTGGGCCCTGGTTAGGACAGTCAGGCACAGGGTAGGAGACTCTGCCTTGTGCTCTCCCGGGAGCTGAGTGTGATAATCTCTGGATCCTGGCCGTTGTTGGGATTACATGGCAGTTGGTGGAGTTATTTGTTTTTTCTTTTTGGTCACACCCAGTGATGCACAGGTGTTACTCCTGGCTCTGCGCTCAGGAATTACCCCTGGAGGTGCTCAGGGGACCATATGAGATGCCAGGGATCGAACCCAGGCTGGCCACATGCAAGGCAAATGCCCTATCTGCCGTATTATCACTCCAGCCCCCTATTTAATATTTTTTAGAGTCGTTTAACTCCCATATTACAAAAGCATAGGATTAACTGTCTTCCTGTGTCAATACAAAAAGGACATTGTTCTAAAACAAAACTACTATGCAAAGGGCTCAAAGGAAAGAAAAAAGCAAATATTTCACTTACTGAAATAAATGCTGGAGGCCTGGGTTCCATCCTGGGACCTCATGGTTCCCGGAGTGCAGCTGAGTGTGATCCACAAATTCTGAACACCTCCTCTGACACCCTCTTCCCTCACAAAAATAAACAAAAAAAAAAAAACTAAAAACCACTGATGGCTTGTAAACTTTAATTACACAAGATAATTGCTCAGATTTTTCCCCCACCTATCTTGGCTCTGTGCTCAGGGATCACTCCTATTTGGGGGACCAGATGGGGTGCCAGGGATCGAACCCACGTCAGCTGCATGCAAGGCAAGCACCTTACACTCTGTACTGTCTCTCCAGCCCCATCTTTTAGGTGTTAGTTCATAGCAAG